GAATTTTCCACTCTTCTGAGTATTGCGTCAATGCATTTTTTCCTATGGCTCTTCTATATACCTTCTCCTCCTACCTTCCTCTCAGTCCCCCTCCCCCTTTTCGCACTCGCAGTTCTTTTGAGAACTATAGGGTCACCCCTATGCGAGCAGCTTCACCAAAAAAAAGCACCGAGGAGCCGGTGGAGGTGGCAGCCTCTGCATCGTCCACGACTACTAAGACGAAGTCCCCGACTAACCCAGGAAGAGCCCTCGTTTTGAGTTTGTCGAGCCTGTCGAGCTTGGAATCGGAATCTCCGATTAGGAAAGTTTTCCCCACCGTATTTACGTGGCACTCACGGTTTCTCGGACCGTATGTACATGGTTCTGGTTGTCGTGGGGAAGACAGATTGGATGTCGAGCGTCGACGTCGTAGGTCGGCGGGTTCGGGTCACAGTCCATGATGAGACCCATCGCTGCGAGGGATTCTGAGAGCGTCTTGCTCCATAGGAGAGAGCTTGCCCGGATTCTCGCGTGAATCTTCCGCCGAGTCCCGCCCCGCACCCAAAGGCATAACGTGACAAAGTGGCGCCCAAAGCGGATCTCGAGCCAAGCGCCGCTCCTCGAGAATTCCATCTCCGAATTCCGTTCCACATGCGGGCTCCTCCTAGAAACGTGCGTTCTTCAGCTTGCCGCCACGGAGAATTTCGCCCCTCCTCGATGGCTTCGGTCTCGAGTTCGATTCTTTGGGGAATCTCCCGTTTTTTTCGGTGGCAATGACGCCCCTGAAACTGGTCGGAGAAATGGTCCACGGGGCGCATTACGCTGTCGAGGGACCCATCATCGCGCTCACTGCGGATTCTTCATTTATTTCTCCCAAGACTATACCTACATTTACCATTGCATGAGATGCTCTCCACAAACGACTTCATCGGTGTTGCCGTTCTCTTGTCCACAAATCATCAGGAGCATTCCGATGAACACGAATGCTCAGCAGTTGGGGATTATTGTACCGTTTCTGCCACGATAACGTCTCAACTTACTCAAATACGGCCTATCGGAAGTGGAAACACCCCCGTGGGGCCAGCCGAGGAGCGGGTAAGTGGCCAGCTAGGGAAAAGCGACGACGCGACGCCTTCTCCGTCGAGGATTCGCGTCGCGAGGCTTCCGGTCAGGAGCACTTGGTCGGAGCGAACCACAAAGGTCGGCGGCCGGGGAGAGCCTCACCGTTATAGCCATCTTGGAGCGGTCCTATTGACGGCATGTTGTGGTGCAAGGGAACCCGTGAATTCAGTCGGTATTTGTGCTGCCTTTCCGGACCGCAGCCGATCAGCGGGCTCCATGTTCGCCAGAGCACGTTTTCCCCGAGGAACGAGCTCACAAATCGTGAATAGCCGGCTCGATGTTCACACCCCTAACCATCCATTTTCGCAGCAAGCGCGCATCAGGTCGCAACATCACCGATGGTGATTGACTTGATGAATGGGAGATTCCGAGCCGAATGGAAGAGAAGTCCTTCGTACAAGCCACAGCTCGTCCGGGACCGTCCGAAGATGCGTGGTGACGATGAACATCTCCTGGACTTCGGAATAAGCCTGTGACATCTATCAACGCTCCGCTGGATGGCCCTCTCTGAGAGTTCAGGCTCGCGCTTCCCCGGAACACTGAGAAATCCTCCATCATATAGCCCATCGACGAACCCGGAGATTGTCTAACATATATCGAGCTGAGCAATATCACGGATATCCCGACTATCCCCACTATGTGGACGCCGCCTTCCGAGAGCGAGATTCCCGCGTGGGAAAAGGCTACTACTCTTCAGAAAACATCAATTTGAGAATTTCCCAAGATGAGTTCTCCCCAGAGGAAACGCCGCCGGGCGTGGAGATAAGGCGCAGCTCGCGACGGCGTCCGCATATATTCGGTTCGAATCTAAGCGATACATTTGTAGAATTCCCCGGAAAGCGTCAGCGACACCTTGGAGGGCCACTTATCGATACATGAGGAGCCCTCGGAGCCAGCCGGAGCCAGAGAACGAACCAATTCGTATAGTGGACGACTAGGAAAAAGCTTCTGCACTCGCGAAGTGAAGTGTCTTCATAGCCTCCAGCCATTGGGCCCCCGCAGTCGGGATCCCTCGAGAGAGACGGAGCATGAATAACCGATTGTTCAATCAGTCCATCAATCAATATCTGAGGGTATCCCGAGTGACAATGAAGGCTATCAATCATCACATCCTGAGTACCGCAGCGCTAATTCGAAAAATACGTCAGGAACGAAACCTCGCATGTCTGCCTCCTCTCAGCAGAGATCATCGTCGCCATCATCATCGTCTTGAGTTATCAGATAGATCCTGTGGGTCGGCGGTCGAGCCCGTCTGCAACCCAATTAAGAATTTACACCGCTGGCATCTGGAAAGAATACATGAAGTTCCCCGCAATCCGTTCCTCAGGAACGATTGTCGAGGATACCGCTCTCGCTCTTCCGCAAGGAACGCCATACCTTCGTCTCGGAAGATGGCATGTCCGTCTCCGCCGCCGCTTGGCCGTGGCCGCCCGCCGTACAGCGGTGTGTCGGAGGAACGGGACATTTCGAGAAACGGGGAGGCGGTGGAAAGTCTCGAAAATCTCCGGAGCAATCTTGTCCACTAAGGAAAAGATCTGGATTGAGTTTTAGGAAATGAATTGGAGCTCGTGGCTGAAAAGAAATCCTCGAACACTATTATTGTCAGCGAGCTTTGCTGTTCGCTTTCGCTGTGTGTGGAGTAGGCTTGATCTGACCAAGCTTTCGGAAAGGGTGGGGCGGAAAGATCCCTTGTCGCCGATTCTGAAAGGCCGAATCGAACTTCAATTTCCCACGGCTTCATTCGGATGAGCCTGATCCAGGGTCCAGATGATGCGAAGGGAAACCGCGTCTCCGATGGAACTTTTTTCTATCTACCAAATTTTTCAGCCGAGAGAGCTTCCAGCAGACGAAAATCGGCTCGCCGCGTCGGGACGGGAGAAGCAGTACCTCCTTTCACTTATGAGCATTGAACAATGCGGATAAAGGAGGTTATTTTCCCTGGAAGAGATTGCAACCCGTAAGCTGGCGGTTTCGAGTCGCAGTTTGCTTGAGAGAGGTGACGTTCCACCGTCTCTGAAAAGGGCCGTGTGTGGTTGACCCGGCCACACCACGTGATCAAAATCCAGCCAATCAGCGGCGTCCGGCAGCCATGGCGAGAATGGCAGATTCGCTGGTAGCAACTGTGGTGGTGAACAACGGGGTGCCGTAGTAGAGTGGTCGTCAGACAAGACAAGGAACGAAGAGATGTAAAAAACTTGCACGCCGCTTTGTGTATTCCGTGTGTGCTGCTGGCGTTGTATCAGAGGCGTTGCTGAGCAGTCTTGTGCTTCAGAGCGATCTCGAGCAGAGCAAGTGGACTATGTGCAGTGGCTGAGAAAACGGTAGCGATGGCCCACACGGGGCAGAGTTCCAATGGCGCGAGCCTCGAGGACTGCCACACCAACTTTTTCGCCTTGGTGAGTATTTCCCTCAGTGCGTCGAGTGGGACCGAGCCGTCGTACCCAAATATCGTTTCTTGTCCTGGTCGTCTACAAAGCTGACTTGCGATGGGAGAGACAGCAGCAGCAGAAGCAGCAGCAGCAGTAGCAGCACTGGTTGTAGTTGTAGTAGTAGCACCATCAGCAGCCGCCGCCACCACCGCAGCAGCAGCAGCAGCAGCAGAAAATCGTCGACAGCGATGACGACTTCGACAGATATCGCATGCACATCAAAGTGTACCGTAATAACAGCGTCCAAGCTCGCAATACCCGTCTTTGGTGCGAGTCGACGTGACAACTGGCCGATCGCCTCAGAGATCTCAATCGAAGTTGCAGTCAGCTCTGCTGCCGCCCAGTATCCGGCAATCTGTCACCTCTTCCGCTTGCGTGCGGCGACGGCGGTCATGGCGTTCCCGGGCCTGACGTGTGAATGAAGACGCTCTCCGGGGAGTTTTGCGCCATGCCCGCCGCTCGAGACTCGACTTCCTAGTCCTAAACGGGGTCGGTCCACGGCTGGAACCGCTGCAGGCGTCTCCGACACCGGTCTGGTCTCTTCTCGGTCGATCGGTTGCCGGAATTCCCATTTTGTCGCTGTCCCATCATTCCTCTGTGTCAATCGTGATGCTCACGTACATGCATCTTCATCTGATTTCCCCCGGAATGAGATGTCCTACCGATGCTCCTTTGCTCGTTGCTCGGTTCTCGAAAGTCGGCGACTTCGCTCGCGAGTCGAGCCGACATGTCCCCTGCCTACCTCGTCACCGACTGAGCGTTCTTCTGCGTACCCCGCGCTCAGGAAATTTTATTCCCGATGAACGAGAGGTGCCAGAATACGTCAATGAGAGCATTGCGAGTGATCTAGTGCGAGCATCGAAGATGTCCGGCTGAAGGGGAGCGTGTGCTGCAGCGCTGGAACGCCGGTTGATGCCCTCGTCCGCAAGTTCGGTCGGATTGTGGTCTGACGGAAGGCATGAGATCGCTCTCGATCGCTCAGCGTCGCCCTCGATCCCACACGACGAAAATCTGTCTGACCTCCGCAAAGTGCACGAGCGTGTTGAACGGGGTCTATCATGGCTCAATCACCGGCTGGATCTCGAACTGGGCGACCGTCAGGTCTGAGGTATCTCCCGATCATACGGAAGAGAGGAAAGTGGATACTACGCTGGAATAATGGATATCAAGGGGAACGAGTATTCCCAGCTTCTGACGCAAGAATGGGCAGAGACAGTGAGGCACGCTGATCACCGCCGGAACGCCGCTCGCTTCCCCGGCCGCGGGAGAACTCCACCGACGTTATTGTCGTCGGGTCAACGAACCCTCAAAGTCGGCAAGAAGTCCACAGTCACAGAGAAGACGGATGGACAGACAGGTTCACAGATGAGTCCCCTAGAAGACTTGAAAATCATCTGGGGAGAGTTTTCTCGCACGGAAACCGTTCCACAGGAGACGCTCCCTGAAACGCAGGAAGCTCATCGGGGATGGCGATGACGGTCGGAGGGAAGAAATCGCAACGGATCAGCTCGTGATCCCGTTCGCCGGATAAATACAATTCAGCCTTTCCCTCCACTTCGACTCGATCATAGCACTAGGAAGCTTTAATTATTATTCTTACTATCATCATGATGTATAAATCTCATATATATGAAAACATATATACCCACATGCGTACACGGCTCATGTGGGCCCAATCATGCCCGACGACTCCGTGAGCTCGAGCGATACCAAACTCACCGACCTGATCTTGACTCCTTGCAGGCGGACCTCAACGGCATCAAATGGCGAAGATTCACTTCGAGCAGTCCAGCAACTTTGGCGCCATTAGAAGATGCGGTTTTGAGTTCTTATGCGAAGTGTCTCTCGCACGGTCTTCTATGCGCCTGGCGTCGTGTGGCACGAAGTGACCATGCCGGACTCTTATTGGATCCCCCACCAATGGGAGCTCCCGGTCAGCTTGCTAAGGAACTGTGGCTGTTCTGGTGTGGGGACGAGCCGGACACCAACGGTCTGCTCGCCTCTCACCTTGTAGATCTCGAAAACGGCTCTTGGGAAAATGGACTTTCGTACGAGACCAGGAATCTACTGTTCAAGGCTTTGCACAACCTCGTTCAACGATGTCTTCTGCAGCAAGGCTTCGTTCGACTCGGACGATGGTTCCTGCAACCCACGGAATGGCCCCATCACCTCGGACGAACAGGGGGCAACAGGAGCGAAAATAAACAGAACCAAAGTCCGGCGGGTGCTCGGTCGTCGGTGCCATTGCAAATCACTTTCGCGTTCAATTTCTTCGTTCACGGAGATTCGACCGTATGTGTTGGAGTCGATGTGCGACAGCATCCCGCGATTTTCCGTCTGACGCGGCAGCATATTGCGGCGGCCCAGCAGCAGAACGGTGGCAACAATAAGGTGATTTTGTGTCCGTTTGGCTTGCAAGGCACCTTGACGGGGACCAGCAGCAAAGAAACAGATTCGAGCACCCTCCTGAACGAATGGAAGGAGTTCTTCCCCTTCCCCAAGGACCTCATCAGCAATCATGGTACTAATGAAAACTGTCCACCGCCACCACCTCCAGCATCGTCGACAGCGAGCCATGGAGCGTCAGCCGGCGAGTCCCAAGCGGGTCCCGCCGGAGTGGGTCACATTCCTGTCATGGTGCATGTTCAAGTTGGTTCTGTCCGGATGAGATATCCGTCAGCGTACGTGTTTGTCACAGAATCTGACGAGTTAGCGGCTCAGGCAGCGGCTCCTTCGAGTCATTCACACGTCGTCCCGATGCCATCTCAGGCTCAATCTGCGCACAAGTCTCTGCAAAATAGTGTGTCGTCACATCGTAGCATTCTGAGCGCTGTTTTGGCTTCGAAAGACAAGCAAGACCAAGTAGCAGTAGACGAGCGAGCTGGTCAGCAGAGACTTGCGCTGAAGGCATTGAAAGAAGAAAACCATCATGTGTCCTCAGCCGCCGCATCGAGACTACCGACGGTCGCAGCGGCGGCCGCGGCGGCATCGATGACGACATCCTCGACGACGACGCCGCCGACGACGATGACAACAGCGGCGACGACGACATCCTCGACGACAACAACAACAACGGCAGCAGCGACCTGTAAACAAACTTATTCGAGTGGTTTGCGACCTTCGTCGAAGGCGATTCGCAGCAGAGCATGGGTGGACGCCACAACCACGATCGGTGGAGTGGGACAGTCGGAAGACAGCGTTTGGCAACTGAGGGAAGTTTCCTGCGCACAAGCTACATGCGTCTGCTTCCGATGTGTTCAGAACGGTCGCCGGGAGGACCGTGAGCGAAGAAAAGACCCGTCGATGAAGTTGCCGTCGCTGAAGCCCGGTGCTTCGGGAAATTTCCACAAGTGAGTAGAATTTCTTCGGTGAATCCGAAATCGTACGCTGGTGCGTTGAGACCTCTCCTTAAAAAATCTCTCCTTCCCTTCTAGGCGGCGGTCCACACACGACATACCATCAGCGCTTGACAGTATATTATCAGCACGCCTAGGTCTCAATAATGGAGCCGCGAGTTTGGATTTCGGAGACAAAATGGGACCGCCTTCGAGCCAATTGCCGGTCCCTTCGGTCGAGCCGATGTCCGTGACGACCTCCATGCCCCCATCTGTGGATCCTCCTTCGGGTGGGGATCGCTTAGGACTACTTTCACCTCATTCGAACCTTATTCCGCCGCATTTAGGCTCCGCGCTCGGCCAAGCTACCCCTAAGCAAGAACCCGGCACTTCGGGCCCGAATGATCCGATCGGTGGCCAGCAGCTGCCACCGGGACATTCTCCGGTCTCGACTCCCGATAACACCCGACCCCTCAACACGCTCTCACCAACGACAGACGAAGGAGGGGGAGGCGGCGTGCATCCAGTTCACATTAAGCAAGAAGTGATCACATCAGCGCCTCCGAGCGTGGCCGGCGCGGATTGCTCGACGCCGTCGACGCACGACGGCAAGGGTCAGGCCGAACAGCGACCCGATCAGGCCGCTCCGTCCTCGGCTCAGGCGTCGAACCAGCAAACTTCCAAAAAATCCTCAGGTGAGAACTCGTGGTTCTAGTTCAGATCGTTATTCGCTCGTTGCTCGGTCTCGTTCGCCACTTATCTGATCTGTGATAATGACTGTGATTCGGCTTGACAATAATTTTATCGACGCAGGTTTCAAACGACCAATATTGCCGTGGGTCGCTCATGAAGACGATGTGTTCTCATCCGCTGGTGCGGACTCCGCATTGTACGATTACTCAGACGTGTCTACTGCCCTAGTTTGGGACGCTCCACCTCCTGCGAAACGAAGATTCCCCTTGCGTTTCCGTTCATATTTAGCTCCGAACAACGATAGCCTCTACGGGAGTACGAATCATCCTTCTCAACAATATTGCCAGCAACAGAGCGAAGAGAATCTAGGTGAGAATCTAGACTGATCTCCCCGCTCGATATATACATCCATCCGTCCGTCCGTCTGTGTGTATGCCCGTCTGTCGGTTCGCGGGTCCCCGATGCTCGCCTAAGAGAGAATTTCAACTCCAGGTATCCTCAGTCAAGGAAGAGATCGCGAAGGCGGCGCCGCGTTCAAGACGGAACAGACTGTTGACGAGAGCATACAAGGTGTCGTCAGTCCTTCGGAGGTCACGAGTGCCGCGCTGACGCCCATGTCCAGTGGTCCTCACTCAAACAATCCGCCGACCCCTCGTCAGCAGCAGCAGCAGCAACTGCTCCAGAATCAGCATCCGCTACAACTCCAACAACACCCTCATAGTACGTTCACCCGAGTCGAAGATCTCAAAGCGACCGAAGTCGATCTGGACATTTTCGAGATGTCGTCGTCGAGTGGTGGCAGCTCTCACGACATCAGCAACGACGGGCTCTTCCATGCACCTAATGGAAAACCAGCTACTCCTCAACACGGAAGTACTGAAGACATCCATCGGAAAACCGCCGGTCTCATGGAGCTCACGACAATGTACCCGACTCCCCCATCTCAGGAACACAACACGGCTCCATCGCCTTGCAACGGTGAGTAGCACGACTCCGTGGGCCGATCAAATTAGTACTCCGACAGGCGACGGTCGACGGCCACTCCGACCCTGCACGATACACGCTCGATCCGGAATACGGTCTCATAGCGTGTCAATCATGGATCGCACTCACTCACTCCCTCACTCATCCACTCACTCGCTCGCTCCATCTGATTTACAGGGCCCGGAACTCCAGCCCCTCACGTCGGTGTCGAAGAAGAGCCTCTGGCCAGGTTTCCCAGGCTGTTGGAGAACTCCGAGATCTCGGCGGTGCATCGACCGAACGCGATCAACAAACTCGTTTCCTCGGTCATTTATGCTCCGGTTTCGCCGTTGCCGTCATCGTTACAACCATCGCTCAAGGTTCCTACTGACTGCGTGTATAAATTGTCATGGCAGTCTCGGGTCGGTGGAGGCGGTCCTAATCGTCAGAAGCAGAACAATTCATCGTCGAGCGGCGCTGCTCCTGCGACATCCACCGCTACCGGTCGAGATGCCGGAAGCTCGCTCGCCGCCACTGCTGCCCAAAGACGCTTGCACGGTGATCGGGATCTTCCGCTGCGACCGAATTCGGCTATCAACGGCAACATGCAGCCGCAGCAGCAGAGGGGCTGGAATAATGCGGACGGCATGAACCGTCCCGCTCCTCCGTATCCGCTTGGCTCGCCGGGATACGGCACGGCCGCCTCCGTCAACAGTAACATGATGTCCCCCGTTGCCGGCATCATGACTCCTCACCACACGTTCGGGGCGTCGAGACCGTCGTCAGTCGAACCCTACCACGGCAACTCGGGACCTCCATCGGTTGTCAGAGAACAGAGTCAGCCCGAGGTTTCGAGTCTGCTCGTGAATCTGTTCTTGTCGGATACGATGCTCGATGTATTTCGTGACCATAACTTTACCTCGTGCACGATCTGCGTGTGCAATATGAACATCAAAGGGGCAGACGTTCCGCTCTATTTGCCATGTCAAGTTCTATCGGGGCCCGCATTAATCGGTTTTGATGACGCACAATTCAAATGCTCTTGTGGATTCAGCGCTGTGACCAATCGCCATCTGAGCTATCAAGCGGGTTTGTTTTACGAAGATGAAGTAGAGATTACCGGTATGCCGTACGAGGCGCCACCCCCCAAAGTGAAGTTCGGTCAGAAGCAAAACAAGGAACAAGCGATGCTGGCAGAGAAGCGTCTGATCGACTACGTGCAGCTGCAGTGTCTCGGGATGATGGAATCTCCTTACTCGGTATTGGCGAACGTAACCAATTTCGCGATCGAGCTCGCCTCGAAGACTCCGAAAAGTCCTCCGCCCATGAACACGGTGGCTAGCAAGGTTTTCCGCAAAGACAGTCCTCTGCAAAGCGTTCAGCAGCTGACCGACAGTTGCCAAATCACCGCCATGGCCATAGAGGCTGTGCTGGTAGGAGGACCTGCCGCCCTCACGCAATCTGTAAATCAGTGGTACAATCGTCAGCCAATGGACGAGGCTTCGAAACTGTCGCTGTTGCATCGCTGGGCTTTCCTCCAGGTCGCAACGCCCCCCAATCATTCCACTGTCGTTAAACTCCTCCGGAGCCTCCAGCCAATTCTCCAGGATGGAGTGCACAACCAGCGAAAGGTACCAGTTGTCTGCTATTAAGATTATCCCGGAGAGACCCCCTGTCGATGGGGTCGAACTGACATAACTCTAATCCACGGAGCCTCTGTCCGGTCCCGAAATTTCGTCCGTCGCTAACTTTTGTCTCGTTCGATCGATTTCAGGCACAGAAAGGCCCGTCGCAAAACATGTGGGAGGTGACCTATCGAGTTCTAGGACCACTCACCTGGCGACAGTTCCACCGTCTGGCTGGCAGGGGCACTGAGGACCAATGCGAACCGCAGCCCATACCGTCGCTCCTCGTCGGTTTCGAGAAGGACTGGCTCTCATTATCTCCGTTCGCACTGAAGTACTGGGACAAACTCCTCCTCGAGCCGTACGCATCGCCCAGAGATGTGGTGTACATCGTTGTGTGTCCCGATTCAGATGCTCCGATGCCGCACATAAAAGCTTTCTTCCGCGACTTGAGCTGTATCTACGAGTCGTATAACTTGGGTAAACACTGCGCGATGAGCAAATCGTTCCGAGACGGCATCCTCAAGGTCGGTCGCAACAGCCTCGACCGAAAGACGCCGCCGGGGAACGACGAGACGTCAACAGGAGCCAATGGGGTCAGCAATGGTCCGAATCCTTCGAGCCCGGCCGATGATTGGTTCACAGAGGTGTTGAACCAAATGGCCGGGGCTGATGATTCCAAGAGGAGACATCTAGCTGTTCGACTGAAACTGTACGCACAAATATGCCGTCATCATCTGGCGCCGCACCTCGCTGCCCAGCAGCTTGACAAAAGTATTCTGGATCCTCCGCTGCAAGCGCAGGCACCCAAATGTCAGCAACCGGCAGCTTCTCCCCGCGCACCAGCCACGCCGGACAACCCAGCTTCGGTGGGCTCGCAGCTTGACAAATCGTCAATGGTGGGCACGCCGACCAAGGACGACTCCGGCCAAGAAACCAGTGCGAACAACATCGCCCTAAACCCAGAACAAATGGCCCCAGGTCAGGCCGAGGTTCCCGGAAACAGTCCCCATGCGATGATGCAATCCCTGCAGAGTGGGTTGAATGTCGATGACAGCTCGGAACCCAATAATACTCCTATGATTGTAGTCTACGTCGTCGACCCCTTCACGTACACGAACAACTCGGACGGCGAAATGCTGAAGACATCGATGATAGCCCTCTATCACTGCTACCAGCAAATGCTGAAGACGCTACCGAACGAGATTCGACATAACATCCAATTGCAAGTTGTGCCGCTTGACTCGATTCTGGCCGTTGAGCAGTGCTGTAGTCCTTCGAAGAAGCATGATCAACTCACACAAATGGCCCTTTCCGTCTACTATCAGAGTGGGCCTGTTCTTCCGCCGGCTATCCCTCCAGGGCAAGTGAAGAGCTTAACTGGCATGGGGCCTGCAGCGTCTCAGGACAGATTCATCAAGGAGAAAATGCGGAATCTCGCTGCTCCCGCCGGTCAATCTGCTGTCCAAGGAACGCAGGTGACTAGAAACAACGGATCCGCGGCCGCCGCCCCCGCTGCCGGCCCTGCTTGTGGTGTGGGTGGCGGTTCCTCGTCCGCTGTCCCTCCGGAAAACGACGTCAAGACATGGAATCCACCCTTCATTCTAGCCCCCATGAAAGATAAGCAAACTGAGCTTGGCGAGATGTTCGGCGATCATCGGGAGCGCTCGTCGATTCTGTACTGTTCCTATTGTCTCTCGGAGGACCAGCGATGGCTTCTCGCCAGTGTGACCAATGAAAAAGGAGATCTTCTCCGTAACGCCTCAATCAATATCGAAATCCCGAATCGGACGCGACGCAAGAAGGCGTCCGCGCGGCTCGTTGGACTCAACAAATTGATGGCATTCGTGCTGAACGTCATCTCGAACCACGGCGTTCGGCCATGGAGACTTGTGATTGGTCGCCTCGGCCGAATCGGTCACGGTGAACTCAAAGAATGGGCTCAGCTGTTGTCGCGAAAGTCGTTGTTGAGATACTCCAGATACCTCCGTGAAGAATGTCAGCAGTGTGGCGTTCTGACCTCTCCGCTGGACGTGCCGTGCATCCTGAGTGCATGTTTGGTCTCGCTCGAAGCGGACACCTGCCTCCAAGTGTTCGCCGATCAATACACTCCCGAGGAGCGGATCTCCACCAACGCTCAGAGGTGCGAGTTGTCTACTCCTCAAGACGCCACCTGTACGCACATTCTAGTGTTTCCAACATCCGCGACAGCCCAAAGCTCGCAAGCGACGTTCAATCATTTCGGCCACGATCCTGGCATCGAGATCGGGGAGGACGACGAGTTCTTCAACTCGATCAGACAGGACATCGAAGGGGGAGAAAATTTCGACGACATGATATTCAATCTCGACTCGTCACCCGAGGGGGTCGGCGCAGGCGGCGATGAAAACGCGACAGGTCGCTCGAAGAGTCCGAACAACGATCCGATCATGGCCAGTATCATGATGGGGGGATCGACGGGAGGCATGCTGAACGGACCCCCGGGCTCTATGACCATGGGCAGTAATCCGGCAGCAATCGGCAATGTCAATAATCCTGCGGGTCGCAGTGGACACGGCGAGTTCCTCCTCGGTGGGGAGGAGCCGATGCAACTTCTACAACAGCCTCTGGCACTCGGGTATTTCGTGTCAACTGCTCCCGCGGGTAATCTGCCGAAGTGGTTCTGGTCGTCGTGTCCTCAGCTCGAGAGTGCCAGTCCAGTTTTCCTCAAGGTGAGTCTCGCAGAGATTTCAAAGCCCCTTTAATTCGAAATACGATTCGATGCTCTCGCGGCTGAGACGAAATTAGGAAAGGAAGTCGTATCGGCCCCGGTTGGCATTCCACCCGTTTTTTCGACAACATTTCTCTCGGTCCCTTCCGTAACGTGAGAATACCTCTTTCCTCAGAGTGCTCTGTTACTCCATTCGTCGATGATCCATCAAAATCAAGATGACATTTTGCATGGGAACCAAAGGAACGGACATCCTCTAGATTCGAATCTCACCACGGATGTTTTACGGTAAGCGAGAGGCTGGAACAAATCGGAATGCTGAGCACTTGAATCGACTCCGTTCGGGTGATGATGGTCAAATGTTTGCTTCGATTACAGTTATGTTCTCGAGGGATACAACGCACTTTCATGGCTTCAACTCAGCCCGACGACTCATGACCGGAGTTCGTGTTTACCGGTTCACGTTCAGAATCTTCTACGGTTGTATCATGCCTTACACGCTCTCATCTAGAGAAAGTCTGTTAGAAGTGATTTGAAAAGTTGACTGTTGATTGATATACATCGCGTGGAGGAAAGATCGATGTGAGTCTGCAACTCAGCGGAAGAACTTAATTTTGATTTAGTCAATCCCAGATCATGGGCCCCAGTAATATACAAACCAACATCCGACCGAATTGAACCTTGTGACCTTCATTTATGCTCGTCCACTACGAAAATCCCACGAGCGCTCTCCTATGCAGTCGCGGACGACGCCCCGTCAAAGCTTCGACAACATGAGTGACATGAGGCAATGATGACAGATGACGATGACTACTACGGCAACGACTGCAACAACAACTACATCAGCGATGGCAGCGGACACAATACCGACAACTGTTTTGTAAATAAGATATTTATTTCACTCTCCGAGAGTCCTTTTGCGGGAAAGAACGCGTCAACGTTGGCAAGAAAAAATCGATCACAACAACCAACGACAAAACAAACCGACGAACAATATCTAGGCACACTTTGGTCTCCTATTATCTGTATTGTCTCGTCAATCTATATTGTAGATGACACTGCGATGATTATAAGGATTAGGAAATGATGACAATAATATCATTGATGATAATAATAGTCATTATTATTAGCGTCAAGGGCAGAATGATCACGATTATTATAACGATTATATTATTATTGTATTTGTATAATTTCCGAGAATTACGAACAGTGCTCCAAAATTCTTTGGCTGCTGCTACGATCAAGAACCGATCAACAACTCCTTTAGAGGTGGTGACAACAACACACACTTAAACTTCGCAGGAACATCCTTTATTCAGGGCGAGAATAATGGAATCGGCAACGTCATCTTCAGCTAGTATCACTCATTTCTACCACTATTATTGCTAGTGACACCGAGAAAACCACTTGAGAAACTCCTATGATGTGTCTCGTCGAACTCGCAAGCCTTGCGACATACACAACATCCACGAAGACATGAAGAGCAAAACCCAAACTACTGTAAATTGTAAATAGATCAATTGTAAATCTATGTAACGGTCGAATAAGACAGGTGCGATATCCGAGTCAAGCAAACAGAGACCGAGATGTAATAGAACGAAGAACCGACAACGATAGTTTTTTCCATTTCCATACAGAATATATCTCTCATGAATAAATCCATACCTTATATAATCGGACTGGACCGGGATCCATGCTTCGCACAGAGAAAGCTCATTTCCTCGCCCTCATCTCGATGAAATGAGTGACGTTCATCACTGTCTCCTCTGAGCTCAATCAGGTTCTCCTCCTTGACCTCAGAGATCGGAGCGATACTCTGACATAGCGTCGGCGGTGAGAATTCGGCGAGCCTTCTTTCATAGTGTCCATGTAGCTTCATCCTGGCTGACGGGGTCGAGCGTGCTCGGAGCTGCCTCAAGGTTGAAGTCGAAACCCACAAGATTCGCCTTGCGTCGGAAGATTTGCCTCGAGATTTGGGCATCCGAAGTAAAGTCTAGGGAGTGAAGTCCACGGAGTTGATTCCTCGATATGAGACCCACGGAGTGGAGTTCCGCCGACGAGGTGCTCGACCCTCGACCCGCCAAACCTCTGAGCAACCATCTCGTTTGTCTCTTAGGCCACGATCGAATGTACGAGCAGCACGGGATCGATTCTCTTCGGTCACAGCTTCGACGAGTAAATGAGATCTTCCCGCTATCTCGGAGTGCGAGAAAAATTCACAAACGTGGCTCATTGGTCGAAGGTGAGTAGCAAGAACGTGACCGCTCAAGTCGTCGGAGCATCGGTCATATGTTTTTGCGTCAGCCCTCAAAATCCCGAACGATTGGTCGTACGCCTCGATTTCATATCTCTGACGAACGCTCGCACCGTCTATGGCCGACTGGATTCCCTCATTGTAAGGCTGTGGACGCATCGCAATTCTTAATTTCGCCTCGACAGGGATCGCCGCTCATCTCTCTACTTGTCACCAGAATATTGTTACATTATTAGAATTACAGAACTTTCAATCCAGTTGTCCAGGACGATAGCTAGATAGACTCGGGCTCGGAGCGCCAATCGAGGGGGGCCGACCTATACGCCATCTTCATCCTATACCAAAGATCCTCGTACCGTAATTTCTTATGAAGCTCCCGTGGCGCCGAGGACTCTTCAGGGGATCTTCGATTCCTTACCACGATACATCACGGAGAATCCCTGCCTCGAGGCGAGATGATCGCCCTCAGTGAATATTTCCGTCATATTCCACTTTTCGTCGAGAAACGTTATCTTAGAGCAAATCATGGATTCATCCCGGACAATAGCTCTTCTTCGACACCATTCCCGCGTTCTCCATCTGCATGATGCATGACAACATGCGAGTACCCGAGCCGTCGGAGCCTCTCGAGGTGTGATTGTGACCAATGTGGACGACTGATCAGTCATTACCAATGACTCATTAGTCATTAGTAGTCGGTCCCGACCCAATATCCGATGGGACGAGGCCTTAAACGAATCTCGCCGATGAAATCTACTCTGCGAGAAGAACTTTGCTCCACGGAATCGACTCTAGCGACGTCGAGCAAGATTGCGCCGTTGAGGACTTCGGGCTCTGACTCATGAACTTGGAAGTCCGATGCATTGTAAGCTCGACATTTCGACTACCCTCCGCGAATACAGAGAATGTTGAAACATATCTGAGGAAATATTATAGATTATTACCCCGGGGCGAAACGATTCGGCGCCAAGTCAAAGGGTATTCGAAGTGGGACACTATTGAAACGATGTCAGTGATAAATTGTTTGTCGCTAATGGAGTTCTCCCTGTTCTGAGTGTACGTGTATCCACGAGAGGCCACGCCTGTCTGCAGGATTTCATTTCATTTCATTTATTACATAGGGATGAGTGTGGGTATGGAACCCGCAAGCCCTACCGGGCCGCATTTCTTCTTAGGATCTTAGGTGCTTCGGAATCAGACGGAGCTTCCATCGCAGTGAGTCCGCGGGTAGAACTTGAGAATCAGGGGAAATTGCGAAGAGGCGAAGAAAACCAGCCAATCAGGTTTTCTCGGCTATCTGTCGTGAGGAGCAAGAGAATCGAGAGCTTCGGCACGCATCCAAGGTGGAGGCGTTTGGAAAAGATACGCGGGCTCGGGTGTGTCGTCGGAAGTTGATGGATTAAATTCCTGAGCGATATTCCAGAGTAGCCGATTACCCTATACCCTTGTCTATACGCCTACTCGGTGTGAGTTGAGTTCTGGGGGACTGATTGCAATTGGCTCCCGCACCGAATCGTCATGTACCGCTAATATCTCTTGTTTCCTGCCAGCTCTTAAAGCTCGTTCGAAAATATTGTGCCTATGCGTATCTGGGCGGAGAACAGCCTTTTTCCCTTCGAAGTCGAACATTTGGTCGTTCGTCCTTTCGCGAGAACGAAGGAGGATAATTCACCTCGAAGACGGGCGATGAGTTGTCGTGCCTCAATCTAAGCGCGGATGGAGCATCACTCGTAGCGCCATGACTAGTGATGGAAGCCGGGGACAGACATTGTTCCATGAGGGTCTTCCGGAAAAGTTCACCGGCATGTGCAGTCGTTCAAGTTCCCCCCGAAAATCTTCAAGCCGCGCAGCCTCTGCGTCACCGGTGCGAAATATGTCCTCCGGATGGATCTGGCAATTGGGACACGGACCTGAAGTCTGCAGAGCCAATTCTCCAGGGGGAATTCCCTCTCCCCCCTCCCCGCGCTGGGTGTTCCCTCATCTTTGCCTGCATCAGCCGGGACGCCACCTTCACGGACGCTGGGACGAGCGGAACGTACTCGCCAGCTCTCTACCGCGGGAGAATGGACATCGAGTGCAGGCTTAATGCATTTATACTAATCCTCTGGCGAGAACCGAAGTACGCAACGAAGTCGCCGGCTCGTACAGCGCGTCGTACGCCCGCCGACTCTTGCTACGGCTTTGAAAGACCTCGTATCGATGAATTGTTCTGCTAGACTCTCGAGGGCCACCACTTCATACCGTTAGATTAAGTGCAGCCTGCTCCAGAAATCTGCCGGTACGGATTTTTTCTTCTCCTTCCCCCGTTCCCCGACTGAATCGAGGCATTCGAACACGGAGATTGAGCGAATACAAGAGGATCATGGTTCCAGAAGTATCATCCCTTCCGAGAATCTTCGAGGCCACCTCATGTTCGTTCTTGTGTGCCCCTCCTTCGTCACTTGACTATGAGGACTCCCTCTCTTCGATATCATCGCACCCCGAGAGCCTTCTAGCTATGGTGGAGGATTTACTTCACGGAGAACCTCTCGATGTGGGGCGCGCCTCGAGCTCCTAGAATGGGCATGTATTGGTTTGACCCTGTGACCCATCTCGAGCCTCATCCTCCTCCTCGCGAAATCCACAGTGACTCCCTCGCTCCCACTTCCCAAGCCTAAGGAGGGCGCGCATGCGATACACAACGGGCGCGGCCCTGGCTCGTGAAGAGTAGATATAAGAGTAGATAAGTCTGATCCGCGTTCACCTAATGGAGAATCCCCCACCGATTTTCGAAATTCTGCTCCAGAGAGAATTCGCCTGCTTCCCGACACCTTACGATTTCTGAGCGAATCGCTGCGTTCGGATATCGTCCGATTCGCCAGGAGGCCTCTGACGATTTGCGGAGGTTTTGGAAGTCAAAGGACGACCTTTTCCCCTTTTCGCAACCTACGTTCCAGCGCAGCGCTTCCACGCCAGGTGAAGATCTGTGGATTGAGCCGGCGCGAATCTGCTTGACACTCCCCGCGAGCATGAGGAATATGCATCGGATCTCTGCCATCACGATCGCATTCCGCCCATGATCAGGGAGAGTCAACTCTACTTTCCGTTAAAGAAGCCTCAAATGAGCTCCTGTAGGCTTCATGGAGACTTCCTCATCCAGAAGCGATGTGGGTTCGTCGTCGGTGATTGGCGATCTCCATCACAAGCACTTAGCGAGCCACCGTGAGCTCAGTATTCATCGACGGAAGGCCGATAAATTCGGCAGCTTCTCCAGGAACAGATATCAGAGAGAAGAATACAAAACAAGCGCTCTGCTGAGAATTCCAGTGGCATCAGCATCCCTCTGACATGATCCGGAGCTCGATTGAGATTAGCGAATCGATGCCATTGTTGGGATTCTTCGGATTTCTGTGTCTCCCTCCGGACGTGGAATCCCTTCGTGACTCATCTTACTCGGGGTGCGAGAGTGGGTCTATCTCGAAAGAGCGGTACTCCACGGCTGTAGGCAGTCGACTGTGTTTCTAGGATGGAATTCTCAACGCTGCTTTCCTTGTCCTGTATGCAGTAACCTCTGCGGAAGGCGCGATGAATTCGGATTTTCGCGCGCGGGGTCCTTGCTCCCGGACTCCGATGGCTGCTCAGGCGAGCGCAATGCTCGCGGGAGCAGGCTGGAGCGCCCTCGACGGCTTGCGACGTAGGTATATCTTCGGCGTTTGTGAGAGGGTCCAGCAGGGGCCCGGAGGTTTGACTCTCCCCCTCGATTGGCGGCAAGAGGGCGCACAAGCGACGCGAAACTGAACTAACGGGTCATACTCTCGCTCAAGCAGGAGGCAAGCACACATCCACACACACACTCCGCATACAGACACTGCGTCGCACCCTGATAGTGGGCCCGATGGTCCTCACCAGTTCTGAGGTGGTGCCTTACTGATCGACGGCTGCGTAAGGTTCCAATCTTCTTCGTATCGTACATCTTCTTCGACCCCCGCTGAAGCTCCAAAAAAGCCAGCGGAGATGAACGGAGGGGCTTACGGAGCCGGAAAGGCCATCTCTGGCCAAGGCTTCGATGCGATTGGCTTGCTAATGCGACCGCACGTCATGGTTCGCTTGATATGCTGGGTGAGTAGCGCCTACTCCGGTTTAGCTGGCCTCGTCCGGAATCCGGGCTCAGTCGGAAGCTGCCTGGTTCCCCAAGTATCACTGCGCGTTCGCCCCGTGAGATTCAGAGCTGACGGAGCTTGACTTGAATTCAGCGTACGTGTTGATGGGCCATTGAGTCCTTGACTGACGCAAGCCTAAAACTCCAAGGTGAAGTCGGCCTCTGATATCCGTTCCAGGTCTTCTCGGTGGTTATCTTTTCCTGCATCTCGACCGAAGGGTGGACGAGCGACGGCCAGTGTCAGTACGGCGTCAACAGCGACAACAGCAATAGCGGCATCAACGGCGACGACTCTGCTTGTACAGCGGGCAATGCTATAGGCGTCATCGGTTTCTTAGTGTCGTCCGCATTCCTCGTGATGGACGCTCTATTCGACACCCTCTCTTCAGTGAAGCTCCGCCGGAGAGCCGTTCTTCTCGATCTTGGTTTCTCGGGTGAGTTTTGACTTCAACTCCTTTGACTGATACCCCACGCGCGATTGGCGCGATGCCGAGGATTGATTCGAGGCTGATGATCGGGGACGAAATTCAGAGCCTGCAAATAAGCATACGGATCAGCTCCTGAAGCTTCAGTTGGACCGAGTGGCTCACGAGGAGTCTCTTCGCAAGCTCCCGAGAGAGAAGAATTCGTTCGACAGATCGTGGGGAGCGTCGGGGGAATTAATCCCATAACAGAACATCGTCGTACGATCGTATCCATGGACCCCCCGTGGACCACCCGCTTATCGAGTTCCACCTCTTCCGACATTCCGCTTCGGAATCCAGTCTTTCCCGGCGGAGAGAAGAGCTCTCCCCGAGGCGAGGAGATGATGGGAAACTGATCACGACATCAGACAGCAACATTTATGGCTCAGTACATGAGACATTCACTATCCTTCCTGATGATCCTGCAGCCTGCTGTCGAAGAAATGGAGCTCGACAGTTCTCAGGCTTCCGGGAGTCTCTCCATTCAGCATCGGATATCGAACGATGTCGTCGTACATGATCCGCTCCCTGTCGCCCCTGGCGATCCATCCGGAAAAGTCCTCTCTTCCAGTCAAGAGCTTCCCCGCGATCTTCGTGAGAGATTCTGAAAGAGCAAAAAAAAGGCTATTCCTCGGGGAACTTTCTGTCCAGGGGCGCCATTTTGGTGGAATGTGTTCGCGAAAACATGCATTTTCGGGGAATGAGGTCGCGCTTTCGACGGGCGATTCCCGAAGGGGCGCAAATTTCTTGGTGAGCTTCCGGTAGGGGGCGACATGCCTTGGATTCGCCCTGGGCGCCACTCCGGCTACCTAGGCCACTGCTCGAGTGACAGCACGGATCCCAGTTGTCTCACAATGCCGCAGGCCGATTATAGATACACGTCGAATCTCTTAGCGATTTCTGATGTGCTGGTGTTCAGTTGGTTAGCCGCTGGGTCTCGATACCGCTCCTTCCCAATCGAAAGGATCCACCCATACCGCGACTGACCTTGTTGACTGAAATCCGTTGTACACGCTCGTGGCTCCAAGAACGATCGCTGCTAATATCTTCTTGAGAGGCGGTTCGTTGTCGCCGTGGAGCCTTTCAAATTCCGCTTGAGCTTGCGCCGGAAACTGACCCGGACTGCGCGCCTCGTTATGGGTCTCAGAGTGAGCCTCAAGAACTCCTGGAAGTCACCGCGTCGACCGATCATCGAGCCGATTTGCGCAGGGAAAGTTCCGTCGAGCGCTTGGGACTGGTTTGCTTTCGGTGGAATTTGATTACTATGTATCAATCAGCGTTCGGAGGATTCACTTCCCCTGAGGGCGCCGAGAATCACTGAGCGAACTTGATACTTCTTCTCGGAAGTTCCGAATTTCTGAAGCTCCTTGACTCGCTGAAGGACTACCGTGACCCGCTGGGAGAGCAATCATTCCTTCTCGGCGATAGTCTGGTCCAGAAAGCCGAATGATTCCGAAATGACGCCACCTGCTAACCCGTATCCCAAGGAGCTTTCGGATTCTAGATGGCTCGATGCCACGCTTTTGATGAATGCTGAGCGTTTTCGGGGAAATGGGATGCAAGACAGATCAAAAATTCGTTCTATTGGTTCCAGGGATTTGGGCCTTCGTCTGCTTCGTCGCGTCTTGTTATATTGCCAACGCCTGGAGGAAGGCTGACATGCCATCTGATGGATATGGTTTGAACAATCTCCGCGCAGCTGTCGTGTTTCATTTCTTCTCGATCCCCGCATGGGTGAGTTGAGCTTCCGAGGGCTAAGACTAAGTCGAGCTGGATCCGTCCGCAATCCGAATGATAATTCCTCGTCAGTGACATCGATGCATCATTATGCGGAGCTTCAATGCATTCCAGGGCGCCTGCTGCTACATGGCATGCCTACGCTACCGAGATGGCACTGATGCGAGTCAATTCATGTCAACCTACGATGCGTCGGAACCAGCAGCTGAGAGCGTCAATTATGACGCCTATACCCAAGGAGATTACTCTCAAACGCCGTTCTCCCAGCAGCAACAACAGACACAACAGCAACAGCAAACAAATCCATTCCAGGCCCCGTCATATTAGGGAAGTCCACGTTGAAGAGACGAAAGTGAAAATCATAACTTTTCCGTTCGAGAAGATTTTTTAGCTATGAAAATCAATCAAATGAGGAGCACCATAACTCGGCTCAATACTGGCCAAGCAGAATCGCCCAGTGAAACAGCTAGAAGCGAATATGATTCTAGAGTTTGCCGATCGGGTCACAATAATCGCGTCACCAGGCCGGATTTTCTAATCCGACTTCCGTACGGGTGCTAAATTCACCGAAGGGTTGGAAAAATTCTCACTGGGTTCGCTCCCTGAGCATGACCAGAGTGACAGCTCGCCGTGAACATTCTTTTCATCAGATTTCTGATCGTTTCCTGATTGAGAGTCATGGAAATGGGCCGGATTCATCTCAGAGAGCAGAAAACTGAACTTTCAATCGGCCATTCACCGATGAGAGGCGGAATTTTCGTGATTTTGTGTAATCGGTACGGGAAGCTGCGAATGGCGCGTATTGAGAGCCATGTGGCGCTGGTAATCAGCGGTGTCAGGCCAGCGCGAAAAATTATCCACCGCGAATTCTGTTCGATGTTCATGAGTGGCGCATAGCGATTCGAGTGGAAGCTGCGAGCGAGCCTATCGTGAGTCGACGCTCCCGGCTATAGTTCAGAGACGAAAATGCAGCAGGAGACTTTACTGTTCTTTAGAAATTAGTACACGAACGACATTTGCTAGTGACGTGATGCATACATATATCCGAGTTGAAGCATAGATCGAGGAAATGACTGCGTACTGTATGAATGGGTTCGAGGTGCAAGCGGACCAGATCTTAAGGGCGATGAGCTGTGTCGCGTCTCAGATATGATACAAGGTTCAAGGATTCCATCGGGTTCAGGAACTTTGTTTGACGCCATTCATCAGAAAAATCTGTGGTAAGTTCTTTAGCGTTTCAATTCGCTTCCAAGGCTGAGTACGGAGTTTTCTCTTTGGCAAGCGTCGGATCGGAAGCCTATGGGCCAAGCCAAAATGAATAATTTTCGGTTCGGCTCAGAGAGAATGATTTAAATGAATCTTCGGATGAAGCCAGATGTTGAAAGTGCGCGTGATAAAATCATGCTATGGATGCAGAGCGACACTGTAACAATTGACCACCTGATCCATCGATTGGTGGAGCCGATTCGCTAACGAAAATGGATCTGTCCGGCAGCGCTGGAACGCAATACCCGCAATTAGGGGAAAATCGGTACATATTTTGTTCACAATCATTCCCATAATTTATATTGGTACGGAAAGCTTCGGTATTTTCGATGACCACCGTCTCTTGCTTTCCTCACGGAAAGGCCTTAGTTCTCAATCGGGACATTGCTGTCCAGATCCACTAATTGGCAGGAGGCCTCGAACAGCACGGACTCCTGAGAGTTCAGACTTGGAACGCATGGGGCTCTGGAAGCAGAGTCGCGGCGCGTAAGTTCATCGAAACGCAGTTCACCCTTCCAACGATACTCGATCCTATTCGCAAGGGAGAAGAGAATCTCCCTAGAATCGGAGAGGTTCGGCTCCCGGAGACTGACACTGAGCGACTCAATCGACCCGAGCGACTGCTCTACGACACCCGTGATCAGAGACTCAGTTGCGGAGGGGCTCCAGATGCAGCCCAAAGGTTAACAGGGGGGAAACGTAACAAAGCAGAGAACGTCAGTTCGTGCAAGAACGCGACTGCCTCCGTTTATCTCCACATTGAGCGGAAGAGACATTTAGATTGCTCACTGACTCTTAGAATCAAGGCGTGATCCCCTCCTCGGGAGGAGTTCTCTAATCAGCCCAAGCTCGCTGGGAATCAAGTTCCAAACTGATTTGCCCAGCTGATGGGGACATTTTGCGCTTGGAATCAGTGAATTCTCGAACCTCCCCTCCAGGAACGGGTACCAGTTGAAGAAGCGGCTGCGTGCAATAATCAGATAGACCAATGGCACCCTTCAAGCTCTAGGAGCTCTATGTCTCTCACCGTCGACTCAAGGACGGGTGGACCTCCGCCGTCATTCTTGGAAAATCATTGCTCACTTCACCACGTGGGCAATGATTCTTCACCCCCGTCGGCGACGCACGGAAATCGACAGGGCTCATTTCGTTGGACCGGGGGTCATCTATCCAGACGACTAAATCCTCTCCTGGCCCCTACGCGACGTGACCATACCATTTGAATGATGGCAGGCGGTAATCGTGATCCGATTATATGAGCCACTTGGATCGTCCCTCCGAAAACGCTCATGGTTATCCACGATAAGATGTATTGAGCTTGGAGAGCGAATCATCTCCAAGCGTGACAACGAAGAAAAAAGAGACGCAAACATTAACAGTGAAAAAACTGCAGCAGCAGGAACAACAAAAAATAACGACGAAACCTGTTATCTTTGTATAAGCCATTTTCGATGTTGCCTTGATTGTTTGTTGTGTTTGTTCTTTGGAAGAAGACCATATTTGATATCAATGCCCTCGCGGAAGTTGGAAGAAGTAGACAAAGTAGACTCTAAAGGTGAAATACCGATCATCATAAAAACTTGCTATCACGTATGCTCGTCGAGATTCGAGCGGAAGTCGCCAAGACAAAACTCTGTGAAGAACCTTGGAAATGCAACGGAAGCTAGCGAGCCAATCTTGCTCGGTCATAAAATGTCGCTTCCCCGAATTCGAGAGGTCTTGCCACTTCGCCTCTCATCAGCTGTCAGAGACGGCTAAGCTGTCTGTGTTCCTTCAAATCTTTCAATATGACAGCCGCGTATAGATATCGAGCTGCCTCAATGATCTCTGATGTCACTGACCCCGCGAGGGAGTTATACATTCACGAGAATTCTTCGTCGGTACATGGAGAAAGAATTCGCCGGAATGAGAGAATAAGCTCATTGTCCATTCGCTGCGTACACCGTCTACATGGGTCTCAAGTGTTACGCTGTGATGGGGCATCATTGCGATCGGATTGCTCGAAAGAAGCTTGAAATCTCCGGGAATTACATCCTTTTTCCGGAAACATCTCAACATCCATTATCGACTCCAAGAACAACATCGATGACAACATGAACAACAGCAACAACCTCGAAGATCAATGTCCTACGTGTGTCCTGAATAGTGTCCTTTCCATAAAGCCGAGTCGAATCAAGCCATCTAGCCATACACGAAACAAGATCAAAAAGTGCCTCATGCCTCTTACGACATCAAGACAGTCAGTGAAAACAATGACAGACTTCTTCGAGAGTCCTGGCAGTTCTGTCTCTGGTGACCGGGTAGTTTTCTCCTCGCCTCTGTTACACCAGAAAGAGGAAATAACGGAACAAAAAAGGCTCTTTCAACATGTGAAAAAGCTTGGCCTTGAAATTAGCCTGGGGCTAATCGATAGCTGTCGCATGGCTAATTTAAGCGAGAAACAACAATGAATTATTCGAGACCAGCCTGAGCTGATGGAATGCGAATGAATCTAAGTAATGCAAATTGAAGGCGAGCTTCATGGCGAAGGATTCGCAAACGATGGAAATGCGAAGCTGCCCGTTCACCAAGCTGATACAGGCAGCAGCGCTGCTATGCCTTGCTCGAGTGGGCCGAATTAGCCTCCTCCGAGTGCATGAAGCAAACTATAGAATCTCCCAGAGCGAATCACTGAATACGAGTCGTGAAAAGCCGTGAGACAATACCCCTCGGCTGCGAAAGCGCATTAAGCGAGAGCTTTCACAAAAAATGCTCGATCCCATTAAGCACTATGCCAATGATGGTCTGACACTCATAACTTCGCCATCAATGAGTCAAGACTAAACAACTTCCCTCGGAAAGATAACGTCGAGGTACCCAAACGATACATAAACATCGCTATCCTTCATCGAACACCCTAAATAACCCACCCATATTCCAACCCGTCAAACGCGTGTACACATATCTGACCCTCTCGAAAACACGCTGAAGATCCAGTTTGACTTGAATCCTACTCATACTCGATAACGAACTCCAGAACAAAGAGTCGAAAACGCGAGTGAACGTAATGTGTACGTCCTGATCTCGATCCAGAGGGAGTGCGCGCTCCCCGGACTGGAATCAGGTCCTTGACACGATTCTTCTTCCATCTGTGCTTGTTCCGCGAAGACCATCATTCCGAAACATCCGAACAACTCGCGCGGCACTGCAGATGACTCATACGAGTCAGCAGAGATGAGAATTTTACTGAGTGCGGCTTTGGCCATCGCAGTTCAAGATCTACCCAATAACGCGTCATTGATGAACGAACACCTTCTCAGTGATCGTTGACGTCAATATTCTGCAGTTTCGGCCTCAGCCGCCATGACAGCAGCAGGAACTTAAAATCCCATCCTAATCTCTCACTCACCCAACCCGTTTCCCCAAAAACTCACTCAGTCCCTCAAGTAATGACAGTACGACGACACCCTCCAATTGAACACTATCCGGAGAGAAAGACACGAATTCAGATAGAATGAATTTTCCAGAATTTTTCGATCTCCATTCAGTGCCAGAGGGGCGCGATCTCGGTAAGCCCCGTCCGGGATCCTTCACGAAGCCATCGTCTCGCAAGTGGAAGCTACGTCGCTTGATCGAGATGGGTTAATGCTGAGGCTTCCTGGATCGGGGCTTCTGGATAGTGTCCCTACAATGGCCGATTTTTTTCATTGGATCGACGAGGTCCTGCTCTCCTTGCGCGCATCCGACGATCTCGATCCCCAATGCATACCGATGGATCCGAACGGGAAATTTAGGAAGTCAGGTGTGCGTCGTTGTTCTCAGCGGAACCCTAAACCCCTCGCTCGCTAACAATTAGCATTTGACTAGCTGATCTATGCACAGCGCCTCCCCTGTCCTGAAGTCTGTCAGCCATACATTGAGTTGGCTCAGAAGGTTCTGTGCAGCTCGCTTACGTAGAGCAGTCTCTCCTCCATTCATCCCTCATTGTCCCGAGGCGATTGCCAGGCTTGCTTCACGAAAAACTGCAGGACATCCCATTTGTGGAAAACAGAAGTACAAGAACACGAATCGACCTACAGAGTTAGGTCCAGGTTCGAATGTTCCAGTCGCTCACGAAAAAGACCACTGGTCCCTGCGAATCGACGCCACCGATCTAGTGAAGAAGTGGAGCTGAACATCCGCCTGCTGAGACGATCATCCGATGTTCCTCTGCGTTGTGGGAGCTGACTGATCGTGAGGAGCTCACGAGAATCGCTGGAACTCAAGCGAATCGAATCGGTCGAATCTGCCCCACACTAGATGAAAAACTCGCAAAACTGGTACTTGACCATCGGTGAGTCTCTTCTCGATCGGACCGCTTCCGTTTCACGATTTGTGAGCTGCGAGGTCGTCCAAGATCACGATCGAATTGGCTCTATCGAGTTGATCGTTAGCACAAGCTCGGAGAAAACCTTCTCTATTCTCTCGCCCCCATCGGCTTACCTTTGATGTATCTTAAGGTCCGGTTGCCTCTATGATCCCATACGATGCGCAAGTCTTTTGCGGTTGTACAAACATTCCCACAGCTCTAAAAAAGAAGACGTTTGAGACAAAGTTCAGTTGCATCTCTCGATTCCACGATCCTCTCTTGAGATGATCAGGCTTGCCTTGAAGACTAATGCAGTCGTTTTGAATTTTCTCCCCTTCAAATCGGCCTGATTATATTGAGTTGAACTTTGGGAACAAGTATATATACATATACATATATAAATACATGACCATATGTGCGTTTCCGTCTTTGATTCGTTTCATACGATCCTGTTCATCCTTCCGGAGAGTACCGCGTCTCAGTTAACACAAAGACAAGCAGAAATTGGATGAGTCCTATTTGAATTCTATCCCGTGTACAACGTTATCGGTCGATCAAAGCAAAAAATTTCGAGCCCAACCACACAGCCAACCCTCAATGCTCAGGGTTCACCCCGTGGCATTGCTTCCGATGGCGAATCCAGCGGGCAAATGTTCCCTGTGGATCGGAGCTGCGACCTGCTTTTCGGAAAGAAGTTTCGCCGGAAGCAGGATTCGAATCCACACCACCTCCCGCCCGTGTGCCGTCGCGACGCGTCGTTGCGGCGATGCCTGTCGATCAAACAATCCACGCCTATTGGTCTATCCGAAAAGAAAATTGCACGCGTGCCACCGCAAATCCGCTTGATCCGAGAAGACGGATCGCCATGGAACTTGATCGGAAAACTGGGAATCTCTGAATCCGTCCTCGGGTCGAAAGTCGGAGCACACACTCCTGCCTGGGATTTCGTCAACTGGCACGGCGAAGTCTTAATTTCGGAAAACTCAGGCGGAGGGCGACGATTCGCCCTCAGAGAGCGATGAACTCGATGACGATGTACGAGTCCTTCCTACGTTGTATCATAGCTGCTCGATAGGCTTTTTGACGAAGATTACTAGCGACGCACAATTTGATCTGCTCCCTGATGTGAGGCGAAAACCCGAAGCGAAATGCTCCACGACCGACTCCTTAGGCAGTGCATCAACGGCAGAATATTTAATTCCTATTGGGCCGTCGAGCTCTCCTGTTCGGTGTGCCCACAAAGCATGAAATAGCGATTGACGAGCGTTCGCGTACTAGATTCACTCACCATGCCGAACTCATATTCGAGCTCAATGAAGCGAATTTCGATGAACATGCGCTCCGCGACTTGGAGCCACTTCTCACAATGACCGGGCCCGATCTCCATGCTCGCACGCACCGTGGGGGACTCAAATCGAGGAATTCCAGGCTTCATATTGTATCCGGGAAGCTTCTCGGCCCTGTCGAACGGCAAGCATGCCCCGCCGACCCCAATCGAGACGTGCTCTGCTCCAGAGTTCTAGGTTTGGGTTCTTTCCCTGGGACCTAGAACGTCCCGCCTCACCTGACCTAAATACGAAATGCATATCTTCCACATCAGAAGCCCCTCAGTTGAGTTTGTGTCGATATTGAATAGATATTGCGCCTCACCCATCATTCCGTTCCGACATGACGAGCAGGGAATGCGCTGCTGCCTGACGACGATTATGAAGAGCGAAATTGACAGCGAGAGATTGCTGCTTCCCGAAGCACGATTGTAATGCCGCAGAAGTTGATCAATAAACGTCGAATCTGAACTTATGAAGGAAGTCTCTTAGTGAGCTCATCTTTCATAGCAGAAACTTTTCGAGGTATAGGCACCATCTGGCGAGTCCTCCGTAGCGCATCCTCCTCGGTTACACTTTTGCGGATTTGGCGCACGAGTTTGTGGAGATAAACATGTGGGCTGATCCTTGGGAATTCTCGCTCTTCTTCCTTGTAGATCCCGCTTCTTCAGACGCCCACCGACGCACAGCCAAGGACGAGAGGACCTACGGGTCTTCGGCGTAAAGGAAGAATTTCAGCCGAGGAGTTCCGTCGGCCATGGCATCAGGCAACCGAAGCCCGCCTCCTCGATTTCAAGTCGCTAGATATTCGAATGCTAGATCCTCCACTGTCGAGTATCTGCTGACTATGGGAAGCCTGCCGACAGGCAAAATCGAGGAACTCCTCCTCTAGCAAGTATGCAGCGAAGTTCCCTCGGATTGAGTTTCCGAGTGACATACGAAGGCTCTTGACACTATTTCCGAAAAATGAGCGTGATGCCTTCATGGTCGATCAAATTCTTTCCCAAAGACGGTCCCTTCGTACAGAGCGGAAGAGTCACCACCCGCGAGGCCTCCCATCTGTTATGTTCTGCTATCGCGCGAAGCTTCCTTATCGCGAAGCTCGCTCTCTGGTACCGTTTTCACTTACTTTTCGAAAAACTTAGGTTCTCAGTGAGATGACACTGCACCCAGCTACTCAAAGACTGGACGCTTCGTCGGCCCAACCCGGAGCCTCTCCTTCCAGCTCCTTGTCTCGCCTTTTTCATTCGGCATTACATTGAATATCTTCATGGAACCCCGGCGTCCCCATTTTCATTGTCAGATGCGGGGTTCCAGGGTAGGATCAGAAGCGAGGCTTAGCCCCTATAATCTATTGAGCTCCTCGTCAGCGACACGGAGAGATCGAGTCTTCGCAAGGGACCGAAAATATGCACCGACATAGACGCCGAGCCCAACTATGTGCACGAGAGCTTCGGAACGGAGGAGGACCCAAATCCGGGGCGTAAATATCTCATGAGTCATGACCGAGATGGATCATGCGGAGGGTCCATGATTATTCGCGGAATTCCTCATCCGCAGTTCTTCTCAATCGCGAGGTTCCTCCTCGAGAGGTCTCTTGTATGATTCGAGGATGGGTGATTTCTCCCCATGAGTGAATTGATGGCGTCGTGCCCTTCCTTTGATCGACTCGAGTTATGCGTGTCTTTTGATTGGGTACGACCAAGCTTCATTATCGGGAATAGGAACGTAGAATTATTTCCAGAGATCCGGATTCTTCCAGTAGAGTATCCCTGATATTTAGAAGACCCTCTGCACGATATGGAGGGGCTTCAGGGTCGAAATATTCAAACTCCGATGATCCATGTGATCAGTCTGCTCGTTGGAGTCCAGAGATCCGTAGAAGCCTATACCGAGGTCCTCGGCAGACTCTTAGGCGGGTCGATCGAAGTTGCAAAAGTGGTACAGGGTCTTGGGGCTCTTGCGACCAAGATGCGGAGCACCGCTTCCGTATTTGGATAGACGGATAGACTGAACACTAAGTTCAAGAGACCCATGCCTCCGGACCGAGTCACAAAGTCATCGACGGTCGCTTGGAGATCGCATGATCAGTAGGGTACGTGAGAACTCGCGGCCGGCGGGCGGAGTTGCGTATACGAGCGAAGACTTGTTCGACCCAGCACCGATTCGACGCAGACTCCCTGCGTCGATCCGAAGATAGATTCTCGACCACATGGGGACATATAGCGCAGCGTGACAGGACATTTGCGATTATCTCTGACTCCGCCTCGAGGTCGGTCTGCGGCTAAACTCCGCAAACCGAATCCGATCTGAGCGGGAGTCCTCGCATCTGATTCCTCGCGTCAACGGATCTCCCCTAGTGGGCCTTTGACGAGCGTTCAATTTTTCATCGTTTCTATACGCCCCAGAGTCTCCGGTTCCCCGATTCCCCCGACCGCTAATACAGTAACCTCTTCTGAGCGGCCTCTCTAGCTACTCTCCACCTCGTCTCGGATGCGTTCATACCTACATGCTATCAATCACTATTGCAAGAATGGATAGCGGACCGAGTCCGTGCGATTGGTGTCTCCATAGGTTGGAGACGTTCTCAGTCCACGATGTTTCATCATTTCTACCAATCGATCTCTTGAGGAACTACTCGCATGGGTTTCGAGTCCGTTGCGGACTTCAAATGCGACGGCTGGATAAGACAGATAGATCCACGTGGACGGTTTCTTCAGACAGAAAGCCGATTGAGCATTAGATCACGGTTCTGGCCACGCGAGTAGAGATCCTCAACTCGGGTATCGAAGAGACAAGCCACGCCACTCGGCACCGAAGCAGGTTCCTCGGGAATTCCATGGTTGAGACTCGCTATTTTCCCCAATCAAGCTCTTCCCCCGTAGTCCCTGCGCCGGAACTCTATCAGTAATGTGTGATCTATTCGGACCTGACCTAGATCTCTGTTTCTGGAGTTGGAACTGTCAGGGACCGAAGAATCAAGCTCGGAGAAGAGGTCGAGTTCATTATTCGGAAGTGTCCTTCTCCCACCTATACGGAAATAGCGCACACGATGGCAGCGGTTACCACGCACGAATGAATTTATTCCAGGGACGAATCAGTGATGACCGTTCGCGTTTTTCCGTTTGCCTCGAACCCTTTCGATCTGATCGAGAAAGGACTTACACTTACCTAACATGACTTTGATACTTTCTTTCACGAGAATGTCAGACGGAAGCATTCCCACGCTCTCAACGCTGAAAATGAAGTGGTCAAGCTTTCGCCCGAGTCTGACTTTCTCTGCCAAGTCGTCGTGCATCAGTACGTTGCGACTGCACGTGTCCATGCGTGGGTTGACGATTTTGGCCACGTCTACCCCGTTGCGTTTTTCGATTTCAACGACACCTTTCGAGAAAGAATTCTTGAGACGTCTCGCCGCTTCGCCGCAAACATCCTCCAGTATTTCAATAACTGGAAGCAGCCTATACGAAGCAGTCGCGACAGGGGAGAACTTCGCATGCGTTTTCCCGATTCCTTTCAGATACTCGATCTTCATGTCGATTTCTTGCCCTGGTCGGAGTTTTGCGATGAGAATATCGTCATGGATTGGCTTCGGAGGGTTTTTCGCGAATAACATTTCCTGTCCTTCTAGGGGAACCCAGGTGAGATGTCCGGAGTACACCGAGCTATTGCTATATATATCTTTCGGTAGAGTGCTATCCTGGGCAGCTTGAAGGTTTTTTGTACAGCGAATGTGGAGTTCGAAGACAACCGTATCCTGCGAGGAGGCCGGCTGCTCAGGATTGCGGTTCTCAAACAATCGGGAGTCGACTCTGATGGGGACGAGTCCAATTCTGTTTGTGAGATCTTTGTCATGGATGAAAGAAGTATTATTTATCAAGGTGATGCGATCGGCGGCCATCGTCGGCACCTGGAAGTTTACAGAATGCTTGAGTCGGGTATGAAGGGAACCGATCGAAAAATCGTAACTGTGACTGGTTTCGCAATTGTCAGCATCGGTGAGGATCACAAGACGCTTCTCGGTCTTCGAGCCCGGAACGAGGGCTCTTCCATGACACCTACTTCGGCTATGAGTATCCGTCGGATGGCATTCGCGATGGCGGGGTCGACTCCTATAATGTCGAACTCCAAGTCTTCATCTGTGCATTTGACAACGCTCATCCGGAGTTTTCTTCTGAAGTCCGCCAGGCTGTAAGCTTGCGACCCTTCTCCATACGCTTCGCTGAGTCTGATGTTGCTCTGCTGGTGAGAGCCGATTGTCACTTCGGCCTCGCGAGGCTCCATCTTCACCATGGTTCCTGTAAGACCTCGAATTAGTTCCGTCGTGATCTCTGAAGCCAACAGCATCGCCATTGACTTGGGAACTTCTGGAGGGGATCAGCCGGGGCGTGCCCACCATCCCCTATCGAGGGGGAAGGGGGGGAAGTACTTCTTTTCCGATGACAAAATTCATCAATGAGGAGGAAATCAAAGAATGCCGCTTCGAAAGTCCACCGAGGTAGTATGAAACTCAGGCTATCCGGGAAGGCATCCCCCCACCCCCCCTGAGCTCGCAAGTGGGGATCAAGAATGTAGCTCATCGGAAAGGAACTTAGTGGAATGAATTCATCACTTTCGAATCTATTTATTCTGTCTTCCTTAAAGCGGCCATTGCTAATCAGCGACTCATCCTTGCTCCTCTCGAGCGATAGCAGGACGCGAGACTCGAGCGTTTCAGACGAGAGCGTCCACACAAACGATCCAGACTCACCTTCTCCTACCGATACCGGGAGAGCTTGCGGCTTTTCTGATTTCCGCTCTTCATACACTAGGAAAATATTGGGATTCGCTCGGCACGGCAGATCGGAACAAACGGTGAACTGCTTATCGATAACGGCTCACTAATCAAATGCGTCGATCCTTGATCTCACTCAGATTGATGAAACGTTCGATATCGCAGCGCCGGCTGCGCAAAAATAGAAGCACGTGGGCTTTCGGCCCTGTGCGTCGAATAATACTTCGAGGGTCGGAATCAAGAAACGACTCTGAGTGAAGTGTGCCTATCTGGGTTTTTTTCTAGAGCGCGCGTAGTCATTGTGTCCCGATGCTCAAAACTCTCGAGGATAACTCCGTCCTCGTTTGTCAGACATTCGCTGCCGTATCCCGAATCGAAACGTCCATTTTCCCCGTCAGCCATTCTTTGGAGCGGTGAATATGCTTCTTCCTCGCACCTCCAATCCTCTCCGCGAGTTCGGATCGCGTCTAGTGTCATTAGGCGCAGCGAAGACGAGAGTTGACACCGGGACGCCCGTTCAACGAGGCTCAGGGGATTGGTTTCAAGTTCTCCCCGAAACTATACCCGTCGCTACAAACTGTGATTTCTAGGGCCAACGATCCCCGCAGCTTGTCGTGGAAAGTCGCGGCGCTGTTTCATGGCATGTGGAAGCCCACCTTCAGAATGGTCGGTGGTTTATTGGCCGTATCACCATGAATCGCTCGAATCTCGATCAGCATGCACTCATACCCTTTCCCCTTCGCGATCCGGCATCTACTCCGGCCAAAATTATAATAATTAGCCTCCTTGATTTTTCCCTGGGGGTCTCGGAGACCGGCTCTTCGATCCGGAGCCTCGCATTTTCTGAAAGCTGAAGGCTGATAGTCAGCGGCACCGAGAAAATTCAGAGCATGAGGCCTCGAGCCTCCGGGAATGTCCCCGAAACCCACACGATGTGTCGGTTCGTCTGCTGTCCACTTCCGATCGTTTGCGAATTCTGCAATCTATGCGTTCCAAGGTACGCTGGAGACGAATGGGAAGATCAAGTAGATGAGAAGACTGCTCCCTCGGAACGGCTTAGTGTTGCGAGAAGAGACGACTCTGGTTGAACCTTCCGTCGGGAAAAAGCGATGGAACGTTTGGCACCGGATAGGCTTCCGCTGAGGGACATCCGTAGCTGGATTCTTCTTCAGGGAGGAACGCGCCTCGTTAACTCGGACGCCAGAAAACGCTCCTTCCGAAACTGTATCGAGTTCTCACGCATCCGTCGGACTTGATTGACTTCTGATCCGAGAGGGTCATCTTGGTAGAGTCAGACCAGAGCTAGATCATCGTTCTGCATCCGTTTGTTCTTCGATTGATTCGAAGAGTTGCGGGTTCAGACACAAAGCAGGGAGCATATCGGACGAAGACCGGGAGTTTCGAGGATACGAGAGCAATGAAGTTCCAGGGAGTCTCGACCAGCCATACATCGAGCCTCGGTTTGGGTTCGCCAAGTTGGTCAATTATCGCCAAGTATCGATGGTCGATCCGCTGTCGCTTGCTCGGGACTGGAAACTCGAAGAGTGGCTTCAATGCTACCCGCCACCATTCGGACGACGCAAGCCTTGATTGAGTCGCTGAAGTCTTCATGTAGGAGATATATGGGAAATCGGGTCCCGAGAGCGGCGGCGATCGTCCGAGCTTCCGCTTCCATCCCTTCTCCATCCGGCAGTGGATGATGATACAGCTCCGCCTGTGCCGATCATAGTTCGGCATGACTCGCCGGAAGAAAGATCTTTCCGCGTAGCTCAAACATTACGCTTTATATTTCAGCTCCCTGAGCAGGATATATGAGTTCGGACAACAGCACAATGCGAAGAGCGGTCAAAAATATCCACATACAAGAGAAGTGACGAGAATGCACACAAAATACAAGCGAAGTCGAACGAATATCCGTGTATCGATCGGACATAAATAGGACACCAGAAATATATACATTATATTATTCGTTGAGCGGCGGGTGCGTCCCCGTTCGAAGTATTCGATACCAATTTGAGAATTCGTGATGAACTTGTACAGGATAGGCGTGTGCTAGGGGAGATATTTTCAAAAGCTGCGTAACATACAGAAGGCGAATGATGCAGAGAGCGAGAGTCGCTTAAATAAAACAAAAGTGCAACAGAACTCAATGAGCCGTTGAGGATTCCACAAGATCTTCCTATGGCTTCGATGCGTGGGAACCTATTCCTTGTGACGTGGGGCGTCGAGGCGCGAGGGTAGCTCAAGAAGTTCGGAAGGCATAATTACAAAATTCAGCTTTACGGGCTCCAGGTTGCAGGACAAATGCGAGGAGCCGCCTCTGCCGCTCTGCATGAACGGAACGCAATTACGAGAATCGATACAATGAGAGCATAAGACATCCTCCCCGAACGGAAGGTGGCTCCGATTTGTGATGCGTGGAGCAACGTGTCTCGAAGGCTCCGTCTATGTTCAGCTTCGGGGCTCTTGAATACTTGATATCAAGCTGAGATCATTTTTTCCGGCTGCTACAGTTGAACTCTTGAACTGCGTCGACGCTTCCAGAACGGAGTTTAATACATATACGGGTATGTCACCCACTGGAGATTAAGAATAAATAACTTTCTGACCCTTCTGCTTGCCGCATGAGGATTGAAAACAGATGACCCCGCGGCGTCCTTCACGGCTGAAGCCCTGATCGTCTTTACGGAGCGAAGATCTCCCCGGGCATCATCGTCTTGAATTGATTCAAGAGGGATTCCTTGAAGACTACCGAGCGTCTCCCTTCGAAGGTCCGGTGCATCCGTGGGCTCTTCTATGGGAGAGACGGGACGGCATGCCGCTCACTGATCCCAAGAGTCGACGATCAGAGAAACGAGCGAATCCATGAGCTCCGTCTTCTAGAAGCAGCCGCAGTCTGAAGGGAGCGTGCGTTCGCGCATGACGACTTCGCTCCCGTCAACTTCAAGTACTGGAATTGTCGCGGTCTTCAGAACCCTGACCTCACACGGAACGCATGGTTTCGAGTCGCTGTCGTCGCATATCCGAGAGCACTCGCAGGTCACGAAAACCAAACCCCGTGGTGAAATCACCGAGGGTGCTCCCGCCGCGGCAAAGGACAAGAATTCACGGCGTTTGTTACAACGGAGCTCATTCTCGAGCGATGAGGGGTCGAAGCGATTTTTCGCTCGGTGGCTGCGAGGCAAACGGCTCAAATTGCGCATGCTGATTCCGGTACTACGGAAGTATGCACTTGTTGTGTAGGCGTCTGTGGTCGAATATAAGACGTCCAGAAAGGAATCTTCGAGTCTCTCCAGATATTCATGGCTGGTGTGATCAACTTTAGTCGGAAGGCTCAATTCTGCAAGCGGGAAAGGATAATTCTGAGTGAGGCATCCGAGGATAATCCAAGGGGCTCGAAGCTGACATCTAAGTTGCTTACTTGGCTCTGCAGTCGCGCAGCGCATCCCAACGAAATAATCGCCAATATTAAGGGTTTGATTCGTGTGGGGATCGCTGACAGTCACTTCCAGCCGTTGCGGTTCTTTGTCGTGGGTAGCCATCCAGCTAGAATTATGAAACAGATGAATTGAGAAACGCATTCTAGACACTCCAGACTCGTGGAACGGGATTAGCTCCGTGGGCTCTCCGCGGCTCTTCATGAGAAATCTTCTGAGAAGGAAACATCTTAGATTGAAATCTCACCTCGCGACGAAGAACAGTACCGGTACTTTGACATAAGGATAGGAATTGCTCAGGTCGATCCGATGGGATTGCCGGAAGTATACGCCGGCTGCAAAGTTTGTGGAAGTTAGTATTCACAATGTATGTAGGCGTAGGCGTCCTCAGCCTGGAGGGGGGGGGGGAGTTGTTGAGCGTCCTCGAACGCGCAGGAGCTCCACGCGGGGCTCTCCGGATACTCTGATTTACTCACGGGAAACGATATTAACTTGGATCACATTGTTCGCGGCATCGAGGTTTGCATCGACGTCGTTCGGGGTAGAGCCGCGGCTACTAGGAGTACTGGCCTTGTTGGATATGTCGACGGGATTCTGAAATCAACGGTTTCGATTCTGATCCATATTTTGCTGGGAATGAAGTACGCATGATGGAAGGATACCATCATTCGAAATCCTCAGGTACATACTATCGAATTCGAAAACTAGACAATGAATTTCTAGAGCTGGTTTCTCTTGCCAGTTGTTCGACTCACCTTCGTTCGCAAATACAAGTGGGCCTGATGAGAAAAAGGTAGGGTTGGAGAGCGGACACTCGTCGGGACTGTAGGGAAGTAAAACTGGAATCTTTGATGACCATTCGGGAACCATTGAGCTTGATCTGACGGACCGGTGCCTGGAATCATAATCACCCGATTATGCGATTACTCCGCATGAGGTTGTCACAACCAAGTCCGCGCCAGGAGGGAACAAAACCCGCACATGTATCGAAATGAGCCAGAGTGATAGGCAACGTCAGGACCGACACCGACCTACAGCCTCCCAGATGCTGCGGTGATTTGTTTCACACAAGCTTTGCTCGAAAAACTTCAAATGCAGTGTATTGGCCCCCAGGTGCCCCTCGCGATCACCACAAGGATGGTCTGCATCGTTCTTCGTCTCTGGCTCTACCATTCAACAGGTTGTTGGATCTGGGTATTCGCCCGTCGGGTGGTCTAGCTAACAGACTTGTTTGTCTGCGTTATTCTCTATGAGGAGATTCTCACACCATTGATTCAGCATCTGACTGAGCTCAACTCTCGCAGGGCATTCGGAGAATAAAGAGCAAACTAGAGCCGTACTCCGATCATGGGCAGCTTTTCACGAAGACAAGCTGGATAACTCCAAGCCGAGTAGCGGCCGCGGCAACTGCGCGAGCTGTCAAAAAAACTAGGTAGCCGCTACGGATTATGGTCGTAAGAATCTTAAAAAGTGTCGTCATCAGCCCAATCGTTTCTGAAAGAAAAGACAACTCCACGCTTCATCACAGCGGCTGTCTCTGACGCGCACGTCTAGACGACGCCCAGACGGTTGCTTGCTCGGTCGGTCAGTCGGTCGGTCGGTCTGTAGGGAGAGATGATTCGTGAGACAGTTTCTTCTTGTCTACTCGCGTCAAGATGTTTTTTTGCACATTCTGACGGGCTCGAACACGACGCAGACTTTGCTATCGGACAGGAGGGGGGATCAGACACAAAAGCATAAGTTTTATCAAGGTAAATGCTCATTAGCTTGAGCCGGCATCTGTGATCGACGAATCCATTTTTTGAGGAAAATAATTCACACACTGAGGAGGAAGCGGTAAGTCTCGCGGAGTTGTTTTACGTTTCAAGTCGTAACGTTCACCGCACTCGCGGTCTTCGTAGAGTCCATGAGTGTCAGGAGAGCCGTCCGGTCGACTTTTCTCTCAAAACCTCACATCGGAAGCGGCTTGCTGGTTTCCGCTCGCCAGGGACTCCCGGATTGCCACGCATGCATGCGGTCTCAAACTTCAGCAGAGATCACCGATCACGTCGATGATTATCTCAGCCTGATGCACTCGTCACTCATTCTCCTCGGAGATTGTTTACTCCGCGTGTCGGGGGAAGCGTATCGGATGAGGAAGCTCGTCAGGAATAAGATTGTGAGGGGAGCTCCCGTCCGAGAAAGCACTAATAATAAATGATCCATGACCGACCGTGGCTCTTTTCTAAACTCCCGTGGCAAGCAAAGAGCCCGGGTGGACGGCGTCGCAATAAGACTCGTTTTCTTCGAAAAGTCATCGACAAAGCAATACATATAGTAGTATGAATACGGGATAGAGAGGTCCCAGGACTTCCATATCGCTTAGGGGCATAACAGCGGATCGGATCGTATCAATGACATCGGTGCTTCGTGAAACTCCCGGGGATATGTATTCGCTAGGTGTGTTGCCGAGAGAGTTCTGGTGAATAAGCTCTTCCCTTTCCGGATAGCTAAAAGATCGCGTAAGGTACCTCGAACCTTCATGTTGATGAACAGTTGTTATTATTATTACCATGGCGGACATCTCGGACTCATGAGACGCAGGCTCCGAGTTCCCTACAGGTATCAAAGAAATGATGGTCCCCGGAGCGGAGTATACTCACAGCTAGGATACAGGGTAAGATGTATCAACTTGTCATTTGTAGGCGGCGTGGACGTGGTCGGTCTGTTCAACGAAGAGAGGATGGCCTTCTGAATGTGACTCTGGAAGCGTTCCTTGTCACTGCAAAGCGGCATGAATGAAACTTCGTAATCCTTCCTGGCGAGAGTCTGACGCACCCATTTCCGAACTTGCAGCCTCAGATATGAGAATCGATTTAGCATCATCCGAGAGCATTCCTCGCCAGTACGATTCGGGGTCCATTGCATCACGTTTTTTTTTTGCAGGAGGGAAGAAGGGAATTCGTTCTATGAAGCAAGCGCGACCCGCAGGCTTCGGAGGCGATGGGGTGTAGAGAGACCGGTACAGACAAAGGATCACTTACAGCTGCCGCCGACGAGAAACAGTTTGGATTCCGTCCTCTGTGCTGCGCGGATAGAAGAAGCGTAGCGCAGAGTTATTGCGCTTCAGCGAAGGTGTCTCGTCAGGAGTTCCAATATCGAGAGCATTCGAGCTGTGGATACGGCAAACCAATGCAGCCAGGAGGAGCAACACAGCTGATGGAATCCCCATCCTGCAGGGAGATGTCCGTGATCCGCTTCGTACGAGGAAGCTCTCCGTGATCTCTAGGGTGATGACGGGCTCCGTTCGAATCGTATGTTCTCGGCGAACTAAAACGAGTGTCACTGCACAGAACCGCTAAGTTCGCTTTTCTGGAAACGCTCTGCAAGTCTCTCCGAAAGACTGAGCTCGGCTGATCAGTGAGTCGTATTCGACTCAAGTAGAGACCAGAACTTCTGTCGTGAGTCAAAAATCTGTGGGCTCTCCTTCGCGCTCGATTTAAATAGCCGGCGGCGGTCCCTCTCGCCGAAATGGCTAAGTTCTCTCCTCGACCCCGCCTCCTTAGTTCGGTCGGAGGCGGTGCTTCTGACTTCCCACAGTCGTCTTGATTTTTTCCTAGCTCGGGGAGCATCTTCGTGGACTTTGTGGAGCGAGCCGGGGAGCATATCAGTGGAAGAATCCGAATTAGCCCGCAATGCATTCATGGATCGTCGGATCGTCGATATCTCGTTCGGGCTCTCTCAGATCCACGGCGGCACGTAACTCTCTTCCTGTCCGAGCGTCCGGTGGAGGTGCATTATCAATTATCAATATCACGCATTTATTTCCATCGATGAATCTCGCTGCGGGTATCGGTTGCCAATCAATCCCGTCCAGGTCGGAAAGATCAGATTCGACCAGCAACACCGAGATTGCTGGCGCTCTAGCTCCGAGTCTTGCCCCGCTCGCCGCGGAGTGTGAAGATCAGGTGAGATCTGAAAACTCTGTCCAGGACATGTATAAGTGGGGAAAGATCAGGAACCGCTGGATGGGAGCGGATCTACGCTCGCTCGACCGACCGAGCGAGCGAGCGAGCGGGCGGGCTGGCCAGGGCAGGAAGGCATCGGACACCAGACAGCCTTGAAAGTCTCGCCAGTCTTCGTTGGACGCTGGGTGACCGTTCCATTAGAGCTCATAATTTTTAGCCCAGAACCTACGGGAAGGACACGTGCTATCTCCCTGTCTCTTCTGAGAAAACTCTGATGAGTGCCGCCGGTTCGAGGCGAGACACGAATCCGCAGAGTGCCTGAGCTATTTCGTTGATTGAAGTCTTTCAAAGTGAAGTTGCTCTTGTTCTTACCGGCTAACCATCGTACGACATCGTTGACTCTCTGCCGCGAGCATCTGCAGAAATTCATAAGATCGCTCGTCGGACACCGACTCGCCGATAAACCTATTTGCTCGTCGCATCTAGAGTAGGATGGTTTTGGAGGCTGATCATACAACTTTCGGATTCAACGCACAACAAGTCCCCGCCAGAAGAGGTAAAGAAAATTTCTTGGAAATCGTGGACTTCCGAACCTCATGTATTGATGGTCGGGGTCCTTCCCCGGGAATGAGCCCTTTCGTCTAAAGCTTCTCGGCCAGCTCCCGGACGATCGATTCGATAAAGCGGGAGGAGATAATCATCTGAGGATAACAGTGCTGGAGTGATAAATCTTCCTTAATATCCTCAAGCCTCGACGAAGTCGTGAGAGGCAGAAGAGCACATGCTCGGCGCGCTCATGTCCGAGCTACGAGTAAATGTTGGAAGAATCTTGTAAGCCGCTCCCTCATTCGCTCTTCGGCTTCATGTGGTTCGGGCGCAGCGAGAGAGTTATCGGAATCAGAGGGCAGCAGCTCGGCATCTACGACGTGATTTCATATATTTCAATTTATTATCTGCCTTCTTCTATGATGTAAACAAGCTTGAGTGGGGATGGGGCCCCTGAAGCTGTATGAACGTCATCACCATCGTATCCGAGATACGTCATCAGTTTCATGGATTTCGTGATAAATCTCTTGTTTTTCTCTGCTTTCCACGGAGCCTCTTCCTTCCTCAGACTGTTCCATGAGCTAGATCAATCATCGATTAACGGCTACCTAAATTACGAAACAAGAAGCAGAGACATTGCTTCCAGCGCATGGACGGCACGGCGGCGCGGCGTCGTACGGCTCGAACTTTCTTCGCGGACTGAAGCTGATAGTTCCGCTGCAGGCTTGTCAAAGGCAGTTTTCAACTCACTCAGTTATTTACGCAAGACCGAAGATTTTCCACCGGGCGTACTCGTGTGAGCGTGCAACGTCTAATTCTCGATCGAGGGACTCGGGTTCCCGCTCCGGACAGAACTCGGCAAACGAATCTCGGTGCAAGCTCAGCCTTTCTGCTCTCGGTCAGCTCGCCAGGTCATTTGAGACATTCAGTGCCGGCATGCCTCGACCGCCGCTCAAGCGAAAAAAGTATCTTGATGAGATACGGTGAGATCCTTCTTCATCCCATACAATGATTTTATAGAAGCGAACAGCCCGTGCTCCGGGAGATTTCCCTCCCGCGAACTTCGTCTCTAAATTCGCGTTCCGCTCAGTCGTCTCCCTTGTTGCTCCCAGGGCATTGCAGAATGGTACGCCCGTAGCTTCAAGCCTGATCGTCTTCGCGAACTCGGCAGGGGTAGCTGAAAAGTTACGTGTCTTAGCCTGCTGGTTAACTCTGCCGTGCCTCTTCCGTGGCTAGTTGTACCCGAGTTCTTACGCAGGATGGAGCAGAATCATTTCTCGAATGAACTCCGTAGTCCTCAGTTAGCAAGGTCAAGACACGCTACCCTCTACACCCTACATAGATTCGCGAACCAAGTCCTCAGAACGCTCAGTGTGAATGGGAATTTTTCACCAAGCGCTCTTGCAGCGAACTCGAACAAGAATCGCTTGACATCCACGATTCTCCAATACACGTATGCCGACATCGTGCGCAGGGAATGTGCACATTCTCGTCGTTGTCTGTGATGAAGTTTTCATTCTCGATTGGCTTTTTTCCGAATCAGGGTGAGCTTCTTCGGACATTCTTCGGACTCCACAGGAGCGAAGATTAATAATCTTCCCGGAGATAGTCTCCCGATCAAGATTTTTTCTCCTGCATCACGACATCCTCAGATCAAGCACACCGGTCAGCTCTCGACCTCTTTCTCAGCGACTCGCACGTGTGACACCAATCTAAATACGTGGAACCAATGTTCTCAGATGTACGTGTTCATCATTTCGTTAATTTTGACTCGGGACATCTAGCTCCCCGGAGAAAACTTTGCGGGCTGCTTATGCTGAGTGGATGCCCTGACGGATTGGTTTCTCTGCGCTCTGTACCGTTATGAGCCGAATTTTATCATCTAGCTGATGGCTCGATAAAGTTCTGAAATATTCGAAAGATCTCGTGTGATCGATCTTAGGAGGAAACGACAGCGGATTGACTCACGTCTCCGACTAGAAACTCGGAGAATGCGAGTGTAAGCGATGCGTCTGTCTTTCCTGAACAGCATGGTGTGACAGCGAGCGATCTGCGTTCATCATAGACAGAGACAACCCATGTCTATGGGGAAAACAAATCGAGCAAAAATCCCCGGAGCAGCTCGTTCTTCTCGAAGCCGCCGGCCCAAAATTGGCGCTCAGCGGACTCCTTCAACGCATCCGATAACGCTTGGGTCAGGGGTAGAAAACGCATCCAACGATCCACCGACGATAGTAGATTCCCGACGTCATAGCGGATTGCGAGGCCATTTCCAGAGAGCCGCCAATCGAGCGTCACGCTCGTCCACGCAGGTGACTATCGGCCTCATCAGAGCTGCGCGCCTGCTTTCATTTGTTGAACTTCTAATACGGAGAGAAGATCCGTTCAGGATGCATATCGTAAAAGACAACAGAGTTCCAGACTTCCTGTTGTCTGGCCGCGGACAATTCCGTGTCTGATTCGGGGAAGTCTGAGACTGAGATGACTCACATCATAGCGGTCGCTCGTGCGACTTCCGAAATATGCGGATCCGCCAAACGTACTCGGCAGCTCGTGAGGCGGTCGGGCACTGAATCAGTCAGTCAGTGAGTCGACCGCCGAGCGTGACGACGTTCGGCGCAGACCGATGGTGGATAGGGAGATGCCTTTCTTGACATCACGCCACAAACTCGCGGTGTTTCGCGCCCGCAATCCGTACTCATGCCGAATGCAGATTAGATATCCGCGCTACAAAGACGCATTCTCCGCTCAGGAACATTGTATCCGGACATACATGATGTTTGCCATTATTACCGGACCGATTTCCGTGATTGAGAACCATGAGGCCCATGAGGTCCAATTCGGTGATCCGCGCGAACCGGAAACTCATGACCGCATCCCCTTCCGCTCAATCCCATGCCTCCGGAGAATTCATTCCCAGCAGAAAAAAGATGGAGCAGAACTTTCATAGCGACAGCGACGCATCTGTATTTCATTGGCGAAGTCGTCCGACGAGCAAAATACAGCAAAACAAGCTGATGAGATCCGCACTCGATATATTTTTGTTCTCTCCCCCGCCGATGGGACACAATTCTCAATAAGCCGACTGCCCAGCTAATCTTCTGGAGACAGCAATCCACACGTTCTGACGGGAGTCCATCGCGGATTCGAGCTGAAAGGAGCGAAATCCAAGGAGGACTTTGCTGTGTTTTTTCGGTAGGAATCTCAAGATCCTGGAACCCCTCCCCCCACGCAAATTCTAAAGGTCGTATGCTTACGCACGTCGGCGTCGCGGGCGAGAACCCACCCCGACTAATGCTCGAGTCCTGTCTGGTCTCGGAACTCATCTGAGGGAATCAAATAGCTCTATAATGAGCAGCAAAAGACGACCGGCATCTATTTCCAATCAGCTTGAATCTGTCAATGCTTCTGAGCACGGAATATCTTGGCAGTTTGATCGTGCTTAATGTGTCGGTGGCAATCCCACTGAACCTGAGATCGAGGTCACTCGTAAGGTTTTGGGCAGGACAGACGACCCTCCTGTGTTCGCATATCGAAACATGGGGTGCTCTACTTTCTCCTAGATCCCGGGCACGGGCTCGATTCCGAGCCTCTAATCCTCGCCAAAACTTACTGAGGATTTTATGGCTCCCTCGCCCCTCCCCCTGGGCACGCTCATCTGACGGGTTTTTCCGATTTCCAGGCCATCTTCTCGGAGATTCCGCTGCGGAGCATCATA